GACGTCACATACATTCTACAAGACGAGATACCAGATGTTACGGTACCATATATTGATGATGTGCCTTGCAGAGGTCCAGCAACTAGATATGAGTTACCTGGAGGAAAATTTGAGACTATACCAGAAAATGAAGGCATAAGACATTTTGTAATGGAACACTTTGAGAATGTTAACAGAGTGGTTCACGGGATGAAATATGCTGGAGGAACTTTCTCGGGTTTTAAATCCACAATTTGTGCGGCTGAAATTACTGTAGTAGGTCATTTATGCACATATGAAGGAAGGAAACCAGAGACAGACAGAGTAAAAGTCATTGATAATTGGCGACCTTGTAAAAATCTGCATGATGTGAGAGCATTTCTCGGAACTGTTGGGGTATGCCGGATGTTTATTGAAAACTTTGCAAAGAAAGCACAGCCTATCAATGACTTGGCCAGGAAAGGTGCTCCTTTTGAATGGGGGCCTGCTCAAGAAGAATCCATGGCAGAACTCAAGAAGAGTCTCAGAGAATGTCCTGCATTGGTGCCTTTAGATTATATTAATAATCCCAACCCAGTTGTACTAGCAGTAGACACCTCATGGAAGGCTGTTGGATTTTACATCTTTCAAGATGACAAAGATACAGGAAAAAGAAACTATGCAAGGTTTGGATCAATAACCTTGAATGACAGAGAAGCAAGAATGTCACAACCAAAGAGAGAATTATTTGGACTCATGAGAGCCCTTGAAGCTGCTTCATATTGGCTACTTGGTGTAAGACGTTTAATAGTGGAAACAGATGCAAAGTACCTTGCTGGAATGTTAACTAATCCTGGCATGGGACCAAATGCTACTGTAAATAGATGGATTGACAAAATCCTCATGTTCCACTTTACGTTGCAACATGTAAAAGGAAAGACCTTTGCAGCAGATGGACTTTCTAGAAGAGATTGGCAACCTGGAGACGAAGTTTTTCAAATTCAGAAGAAAACAAACGGAACGGCCATCTCTGCCAGATTGTCACGAGAGTTCTTGGTGGCATCTTCATCTTCGGAATCGTCGACAGGGGCACTGAGGTCACCGAGGAAGGACATGATGAAAGGGAAATAATGGTCGAAGTCGTCCTGCATTTGAAAAATAGTACCGACCAAGCTCTCCTTGCCTTCGATAGCGGCGAGATCGAAGAGTGCTTGGGCAGCGCGGTGCATGTTGGTGTCCCGACGATACATAAGGGAGTTGATGATTGCTTGATTCGCGCGGATGTGCTGTTGATCGAACACAGCGTCTTGGATATGAGAAACGATAACTACAGAATAGAAGAAGTTAGAAAGAAAAACTCTAGAAAATATAAACTCGAAGACTTACGTTCAGGAGCCAAGCGAGCAGGGCGACGTCCCAGAATGCTCCGGACTTCCGCACGACGGACAGGCTTGAGGCTGTATTCACAGCAAGTGAAATGCGCAGTTTTGCAGGGCATGCAGGGGGTAACCCCAGCCTTGAAACTGGCATTTCTCCTCCTTTCGGTTCTTGCCCATGGAGCATTGAACGCAAGGCTCGGGCATCTGAACAAAGAGAACTTGAGCAAATAAAAAGAGAAGAAATAATAAAATTATTTACAAAAGGCTTGTGAAAGATGCTCTAAGTC